TAAGAGCTACGCAATGTAAACATCTCATTCACTTGGCGTGAAGTTACTTGTTCGCACGTGTCTGAAAGGAAGATCAATCTTGCATCAACATTTTTTATTCTCACGCGTAAAGTATTTGTCTTTTCCTCTCAGATATTTTCAATACAAAAACATAATTAAATACAGATTTCTCTACAAAGACAAGAATTTACATTAAGAATACAGAAGTTCTTTTACGCAAGAGAATGAAAAAATATCGCGAACAAAAATATTTTTATCATTTTGCGTAACTAAGGTTTAAATCATTCGGAATTAATGGTCTGCTTAACGCGAAAATATTGAATCACGTATCTGTCAGAATAGTAGCGTGCGACGCGAAATTAATAGACGCTCATCGTTTCACGTGCAATCGCACGGAGGAGCACCGTCGTGTGGACGATGGTCGGAACGCAGAAGGTTAATAAACGCGACCGAAATGGAAGTAGTCAACAATTTCGGGGAAAGTATTCCCTCGATCGCTCCATTAGCCCGTCGTCAGGCGAGCGAGTTCCCGCTCGTTTTCTCGTTGTCGACATGAACCGTGAGGATAGTCAATGGTGACGCGGAGGGTTAAGGAGAATGCGGACTTCGATTCGACAATGGGCCACCTACGGCCCCCTACGCCTCCGCTCGCTCCTTCTCCTCCTCTCTCTTTCGTACCTTTTCGAGCATACTCGGAATCTCGACCAGGCCAGCTGCCTCTAATACCGTGGAACTGACTGTAACGCGCCGACGATTGTCGCGGTCTCGTGAACTGTAAAGCAGCGCGCCGGGGAACACGCCACAAGCGATTCCGTCCAGGTTTACGTTGCATCCTCGACTGTTGACGTTTGCCACCGGGCCCGGTGTTGTCCGAAATCGCCGGCACGAATCGTTTACACAGCGATAGAAACGGGATAAAATAGGCATATAGATACGAGGGGAAACCGTGACGAGGATTCGGTTGTTCGGTTAATTAGACAACAATGGTAGATCACGGGAGACACGCGTCGAAGATTTACGTCGGAGACACGAGTAGAGACTAGATTTAATCCCTCATTAAAGTCTACAAGATTATTTAGCCAGATAGCAATGCCCGGTTTATATTTGTTACGCAATCACATTACCGATACAATTAATACACGCGCGATCACAAGTTGCTGTTACGATCAATTTCTATTTCCTGTATGATTCGTGGACTTGTTAATATTCTATTTCCCCCTATTCATCATCAAAAGCGAGATACTGAACGTAAGAGATATATAACGAGTACATTCTCCATATTTTACGTGAATCTTCGCATTTTTTAAGTCCCTAAGAAACACATTTTTTATACCCTCGCGATATTCCCGACCCTCGTGGTTTCTTACGAAATAATTTACCCCTGCCTGTTCGACTTCCGCTTAAGGTTACTCGGTGTAAAACTTGAATTCCTCAAGGATTCGAGTTTCCCGTGATTCATCGCGCAAACCCCGTCCGTGGTTATCGAGGCGTTATCGGTCGAGCGAAACGACGCCACAAATTCTGCGCGACGTTTCAGGGCGCGTTTCAGGCCGCGGCTGGATTAAAGCGTCATCGCGGTGCCGTGTCATGGGGTACAACCGCGATCCTGCAAACGACCCTACGGAGAATAAACTCCCTTCCAGTATTTATGGACTTTTGGGATTAGCGGGGGCGAGAAGGAGGGGACGAAGAGGGAGAGCGAGGCGAGTTCCGTGCTCGAGAGAGCGTCTCTTTTGTAAACTCGCTCTTGAAACACCTCGACGAGAGACGGGACGCACTCTCTCCTCTCCTTCCGCGATGTAGATCGCGATCTGCGTTGTTTATGCGATACCCTCGCATAGGGGGTGCTCTTTTGTCCGCGGTCGATTCACGCCGGGAGATACCGTCGAATGAATTTCGGGGGTGGCGATATATCTCACAAACGCTCGGCTGCGGTTTCGCATGCACTTTACGAGCTCTACTTGTCGTGCGCGAGCGCGTGTGCGATTTCGGAGACTCCGGATCACCGCGTATCGTAAACCGCTCGATGCGCTCATCAGTGCGATTTAACTTGGCTCGATTCATTGTGTACGAACGCTCGAAGCGCGGAGTTACTATGTCTATGTAATGTCTTTGGGTCGCTGTTTCTCACACGATGTATTCCGGCAACTAGGATTCTGCGAAGTGAAAGAGAGAGGGAGTTGCCACATCAATATATTTCGAGTAATTAACGATTGAGAGTAAAGAGCTTTTGCCGACCGAATAAATGCACATACAATGGAGTTTAACTATGTCAATTGGTTTGCGAAATGAAATGTGGTATATTAACGATAATCTATTTGTAATGTGCGAGCTATGTATCGAAATACCGAGAGTTTATTGTTTAGAATTTTGTAATCTATATCTCTAAGAGTTTTTTATAATTTTACAACTCTACTTCTCCCTTCTAAGAGCTAAGAATTTTATAACTTCGTTCTTTTGTCCTCATATTATTTTTACATTTGATAGCGCCTCGATTCCAATCTATTCGTCGTTTTACAGTGGGTAAACCATCGCGTTTCTCATTTCGTTAAAGCAACGAAAATGACTTCCGCCGGTTCACTTAAGAGGTCAGATAAGCGAAGGTGAGAAAAGTGAAGGTGGAGCGTAGTCCATATCAAGAGAAACTTCCCGATGTTTTCCACAGTTTTCGAGACAGGCGTACGTTAAGCGCGAGGGAGTTTGCGACCTCTCCCTTGGATTGTTTTCCTTCGTCGTGGATAATTTCCCGTCTGCCACTTGCACCTCGCGCGGTAATTTATTGTAAACGCGAAGGCGGACGCGCCGGTTTAAACGATTTTCTTGATATGGCAGCGAACGGACGGACGGACAGACAGAAGGAAACGCCTTCCGTCGCAGAGTTAACGCCTCATTATGGAAGTGTAAATTAGCAGAAATCGTATTTAGCCTCGGTATTGCTCGTCGCCGGAAAGATGCGGTCATCGTTGAGGAAATATTAATTTCTTAATATTGATATACACTTGAGTGACTCACACAGAACCATTTACGCGAGTCAGGCTAACGTATGTAAGATAATTCAAAATTCATGTTCGTGTGCTCTACGCAATCTCTTCAGTTTGTTTCCTAAAAATCGGAACTTTTTTATTGTAAGCAATTAAAATTGGGAGATTTAAAATCAAGCTCAATAATTGTTAATTCATATATAGTAAAAGTGCCGACCAAAATTGGACACCATAAAGTGAATTCGTTGTTCCTATTTTTTTTCTTTTTTTTCTCTGTTTGTTTGACGTTTGCGATATATTTATTTTATAAGTAATTTCAATAGTAAGTTTGTGGAACAATGGAAATGTGCACGAGGGTGTATGTGACTCTATCTTTGCCAAATAAAATATATTGTGTTCACGGAAATATTTTTCTAATTGAAACAATACTTCATTTTATATATATATACTTGCGTGTGATGAATAAAATACTGCACAATGCCGTTGTGTACAATACTTTATAAACGGTAGCATTGAGAAGCAATAGGTAGAAATAACAGTTAAATAAATAAATAGCTTGTATTTTGATGATCGATATTTCATGAAAGAATCTTTCAGAGTGAATTAATTTATAGAATGTATCATAATATCATATTATCATTATTATATTCTCTTGTTTCTCCTATTCCGTCCAATCATGCAATTTTAATGACGTTCATTACATTAATTATAATTTTATCTCTTATATCTTTCAAATATGAAAATAGCAGAAAAAAATTTAATATTAGCAGAGCAGCTAATGCCAGAGAATTATATCTTTTAATTGAACAAACTAATAATTATTCTTCATAAAAGAACAAACCATACAGAAAAAAGAAATAGTCCTAACAGCTAAAAATTAGCTTCCACGAATAAAAAGCTGTCTATATAACTGTCCATGAAATTTAGTTAATTTAGCTAAGTAAGCTTTTTTATTCCTATACGTAATCGCTAGCTCACACAACTAAAACCTAGGTCTGGTAACTAAATTTCAGTTATATATGGTCAGTTAATTCTCTTTTTCATATAGGGAAAAGATTGCTAATTCCAACACGGGTAAGAAACATTAAACAGCAAGAAACATTAACCTATACATGCGTCACTTTTTCATTTGTAAGTTGTTTTTGTTTATTTTGTGACATAAAAACGTGAATTATATCGTACGAAGAACAATGAAACAGCAGTCCACGCAAAACCTAAAAGCAGGATATAAGACATCTTTAAGATACCTTATAGATGTCTAACTTATAGATGACTTTAAGGCATCTTAAAAATGTCTTAAAGACGCCTCATGTCCCGGTTTTAAATTTTGTGCTGTCTGGAAGCGTCCCAACGAATCGTCCTTGCAACGACTTAACCTTGTTATTATCGTTACAAAACAAGCAACGAATAAAGCCAACATTCACTTTCTCGCACGTAACGCACAGTGTCGATGATTAATCAATAAATACTTACATCGCATCTCGAGATCGTCGGAGAAAGCGAGATTCGCGCGGAGCGAAAGCGTTCATTTGACACGAATCGAATCGACGAAGTTACGAATCCAAGCGTTGTAAATCGCGCGCGATATTCCGAGCATCCAAATGCGAACCGCGAGTATTACTCCCCCGGAGGGAGGATATCGATAACTATGAATTCAGTCGTTTCGTCGAGCACGACATTCCGAACTTTGCGGTATTGTGCAATTTCGAACTTTATCGCAATTTCCGGGTAGCCATCTTTTAACTTTCGATAACCGTTAACGTTTAAATTGCCTAGTAACGGAGGCCATTTTCGATCGCCCGGTAGCATTATATGGCGGCTATCACTTCGCTTATCGACGTTCGATAATACAAGCGAAAAGTATCTTAGGTTAATTCGGATAGAAATCTCGTTTTTTCCTCGGGCCATTCCTGATACGCGAAACTACCGCAGGATCTTGCAATTTTCGCAATATATATACAGATCACTGTGTTCCATTCCCCGAGTGTTCCGCTTGCGCGCCAATATTACGTTACTAACCTATAACTAGATTCCACCTTGCTCGCGCCGTTCGGCTCGGGGTACTCTCGGACGATTCCAACGGAGCAACGAGCAGCAGCAGATCATCGGCCGGGGGATTCGCCGGAGACTTTCGAGTCGGCCCGTGCGCTGAAAGTTCCGCGTAACGCCTTTATACGAGCCGCCTAACTACAATGTGACGAGGCAACGCGTCGCGAAAGGAGGGAGAGAAAGATCTTCGCTGCCTTGAAGTCGGCCGCGGGGCGCGGCGAAACGGCTGGACGGCTCGACGGCGCGGCTGGTTTGAAGCCGGTCCGACCGCAAGACGAACGGAGCCGAGGACGACCGAACGCTCGCTGCCTGTGGTGGGAGCCACCGCCGCCGCTCGTCCGCCATGGTGGGGGGAGACGCTCTCTCGTCCCCTGTGCTCGCTCAGTTCCACCGTCGCCGTTGCTGGGAGTGCATCGTCGCGCGTTGCCGTTCCCTTCGTAGCCGCGACGGGTGTCATTCGCGCTTCTAATTATTTCACCCTCGAGATCGCGTCGGCCCCACCTCGCGCGCCGTCCACCTCGCCTCGCCCGCCGTGACCAGCCGCCATGGAGACTCGCGACTTCGCAAAAGTACGGTGAAGCGCGACGAGCGCGGTCGCGCGGCTAAGTTCAAGTGCGTTCCCGCAGTGAAACGAGCGTCTTTTTTTCGAGCGACGCTTCACACGCTTGCGCACGACCGGCCAGTATAACGACCTTTCGTCGATCGCGCACAATTTCGGGTGGCGGGTGCGTAAAGTGACCGCTCCGGGCACCGATCTGTCTGTATGAGATTCGCTCGAGGACATCCCTCCGTCACGGGGTACCGTCGGCAAGGCTAAAAGGCAAAGCCCAGCCGGAGAAGACCACCGCGGCCGTCGGCAGTATCCGGCCGAGAAAGAGAGATCGCCCGGTGAGTTCTCGAATTCCTGCGACGGGATATACGAGGCCCCGGACCTCGACAGTGTGTTTCGTGTGACAGTGACGGTTCTGGTTTTGTTTGCCTTTCGAGTATCTGTGCGATGTGCTTCGGTCCAGCCGTTCTCCGCATCCAGTGTCTCGTAAGTACCGTTTTAACAGCTCGTGTCTGTACTTACGCTTTCCCCATTTTCGTGCGAAAAATGGCGATCGCCGTTTCGGTGGCGTGTGGATCGCGCGTGTCAGAGTGCCTTCGATCGACGCGATCGAAGCGAGCCTGTTGTAACCTGTGAGAGACACGTCGGTTCCGCGTGAAATTTCTCGCGCACGCGAGATCGTCGCGCTTATCGTGAACGTGTGACGAAAGTGGTGAAATGCGAAAGCGGTGTTCGAAGTCGGAGTGCGTCGGTTTGTAAATTCGACGTGATCTCGCCGGTGCGTTCGTTTCGGATCTCGAACGCCGCTTTATCGCGGAGGTACAACTAGCGATTTTAGTGTAGGGATAGTGAAAAATCAAAGTGCGAACTATTTCGCCGGTGTAATTTCGCGACGGAGCGCGGAATTTTTGCGAGTTTTCGATGCAGGTTGTGTCGAAATTGTGCGGGAGAAGTCACGATGGTGGAAAATCGAGGATTTGTTTTTATGCCGGCAAGACGTGTGCAGATGCAATGCTGGTTTGCGTTGCATTTATTGATAGGTGAAATTTTGTGTCTTTGTCAGGCGAAAGGGATTACAACACGAGCAAGGGATTTTCGCTATCTACGTGCACGTGTGAACTCGTGATGCAAATTTTGTATTCCGAAATATTCTTAGTGCTTAGCAATCGTGTGTGAGAATTCGATCGGTAGAAATTTGTGAAAGTGACCATTTTTTTTTTTCAGTTTAATTCGGTAATTGACGATGAAAGTAACGAAGGATTATCATGACCAAATTTCGTACGTCAAATTTTTCAAAATCGTAAATTCGTTTTCAGTGTTTTAACTCGGTCTTGTTCATTCGCGTTTTCAAATTTGATTTACGATTAATTTTTGAGTAGATACGACGAATTCTCATACCGATTACGCGAGTTATTACGTGATATTTGGTGCGAATAAATGAACGAAACGTAAAAGTAAACGACATAGAGTACAGCGAGTAAACATGGATTAGTCGCGTGTAGCCTACGAATTTGCGGCAAAAGTGCAAAAGGATACATTTTTTAATTCATCAAATCGTGCAAATAAGATTGCCAATTTTATCATTTTTTCATGCACAGACCAAAAAAAGGTGTTCGTCCGTGCCGAATTATTATGCAGGAAACGAGGTTTTTTTCAATAACTATTGCCGTAATATCCAGAACGTTTAGAAAATAATAGAGAGAAGCGTGCATTTTCATATTCACCGGATCACAGGAACATCGTCGATTTTATCATATCTTTCGAACACGGTAAAATTGCAAAAATCTTCGCTAATTCAGGCGTTTGGATTTGAACCGAATATCACAACTTTAAACAGCCATTTAAATTATAAAAATTTTTCAATTATCCACAAGTTTTATCGCGTTTTTTGAGTGAGCCTTGTAAACGTTCGTGTCTTTGTGTCGCACACGCGAGTCAACAACAACCGTAAGAAATAGAAAAGATGAAACACGAGTTTTGACATCGTCATGAAAGTACGGTTGCCGTCTTTATCACATCTTATATGCGCGAGTCAGAAATATATGACAATCCACATTATGTTTATGTACCTTGACGTATAGTATACAAAAAAGATGATGAGGAACATAATAAATAAACAATGTGAAAAAGACAAATGTCAGGTTAGTAGCCGGTTTGTGGAAATAGATTTTATCGTTTATTTGTGTGCAATATGTAAATACACGTCATCGATTCTGTTTTAAATCGGTATATTTTAATACGTGAAATAGATAACAACGGATCAATAGAAGACACATGTAATAAATATTTAAAACCGTTGAACCACGAGAATACGATTATCGATTCCACTGCTCTCTTTTTGCGAGGGATACAAATTGCCTGCTTCAAATATGACGTTAGTTAATTTTAGTGGTCAGATGCAAGCAAGTGTGAGCATCGAATTAAAAAGTGCTAGATAAACAAGTTTTAATTTCATACTAAGTACTATCATCGTCCATTTCTTTCCTCGTGCTACATCTGAAGCAAAATTTACCGCGAGTGATACATATTAACGCGTTATAAAAATCGTGACAAGTACGGTACAAAGTACTGAATTTTTCCGATATTCACAAACTTCTTATCGGAAGTGACAATTCAACATATCTGTTTCCTGTTGCATTGTGTATAATTGACGACAAACGTGGAAAATGTGAGATTTTCAGTTTAAACAACAATACAATCCTCGATTTTCCATCAGTGATTTCTTGCCAATTTTACTCGACAGAATCGAAATCAATTCTAATCTGACTGTGTGTCACTGCGAGCTGCTAGGTTTACTTTCCACGCGTCAGTAAATCCTTGCTCCGTTTTCGCAACGTTTGCGAGAGAGGGAAGTCTCGGCAGCGGCGGAACAGAAATGCGGACCTTTGATTTTCAATCAGCGACTTCTCGCATTGAAATTTGATTTGTCACCGATGAAAACAGGAGGGAAATGTCAATTCGAGGAAAGCGATGCAGTCACGGGCGCGCAATTCTCGACTCCTGACAGTTGATTTTGTTCGCTTAGGGTCCGCGATCGATTAAAATATCGTGATTCGTCCGGATGTTATCGCGATGACAATTTCAAAGTACCTGGTTATTAACTACGTAATTAAGAAAAAAAAATGCGTGTCACTCGCGTAAGTCAACATTAAAGTGCATGTTATCGCGAATTGTTAATAATATCGTGATGGTAAAGTACGTGTCATCGCCGTCAAGGACCATCGAAGTACAAATTAGAAACGCGATGCAATTATATAATATTGCAAAGTTACATATATATATACTTTTTAAGAAATGCCTGGATATAATTCTTCCTGTCTCTCTTAAGAGGCACTTATTTATGTTGTAAAACTTACCGAGGTACACGAGTACCGAAAGATTCGGATTGCATAGACTTGCGTGTCGCGAGGAGGGGGTTGAATTTGTGACTGGTTGGTTGCTTTGAATTTCCAAGGATAATTCGTGAGACGAAGCGAGCGTCGCGATGTCATGTCATTAAGCCAAAGATTACTGGGACCGACGGAAGGCTCGCTTTGACGTGTCCCACGGGAAGACCTCCTGTTTGGTCTCGTTTTACAAGTCAATGCTCAAAGCGCGCGTGCACGTTGCCCCGAGAATACAAACTAGTCTGTTTACACGAAAGTCCGCGCGTCGGCCATCAGCTAGCCGGCTCGTAAGTAATTCCTCGTTTACAGTTTGTCAGCTCGCGCTACCACCGCTTGCCATTCTGACAATACGATGTCGAAAACACACCGTCGATTACGTAAAGATCGCTAGATGACCGATGCGGGAAACCTTTTAACGCGTTGGATGAGTAATGCAAGATGCAGCGAGCAATACTAATGCGAACGGCTTACAAATCTTTCGAGGATATGTCGTAAGAATGTCCTTCGGTTTTTCGGAGAATTCATCTTTCGAAAATCGTTCCGTGCGAAATGACAACTCGACCCATTATCGTCCGTTGCTTTTCATGTGTTAACGTGAAGCATTTTATAATGAATTTTTCTTCAGCAGTAGCACATACGCGGGTTTGTTGAAAAATGTGCGCCAAGAGCGATAATTTTTTCGTCCTTCTTATCCTTTTTTCGCATAACGCAGTTCTGTATGTGTCAAGATAGAGAAAAAGCGAATGAAAAAGAAACAGAGGCAACTTGTCATTACGAAGTCCACTTTCCATGATATCATTGCGCGATTGCATCAGACGTCTATTCCTAGACTCAAGGTGCGACCTTCTTTCAATCTTTAAACGTGTACGAACGAAGCAACGCGAAAGCGCGGATATCGAAATAATTCTACGGAAATCGCGCGTGTACGCCCCGCTTAATTTCACGACGGGAAAGATGACGAACGAAATCCGAGCTGGTGTTGTGGAAATCCGCGACGATCGCGTGGATACAGTAATGCGGAGCGTGTGCGCGGTAGATCAACGTTGAAGTTCGCGGCGAAACTTAAGGGAACACAGCACCGCGAGCGCGCGGAATAAGTTACCGCCACCGCGGCGGAACTTGGGGAACGAAGTTCCTTGAAATTTAGGTGCCGGCGTCCGTGATCGAGGAGCTACATTCGAGGGGAGCGCCTCGTGATTCATTTATATCAATATTGGGTGGGCGCTGAGCGATTAGAGCTCGTGTCCCGTTACCTTGTCATCCGTCATGCACGCAGCTTACGCACTCACAGACTTGCGTAATATTCCGCGGTCTTGTCGACGTCATTCAGCTACCGGTCGCCTCTTAATCCTTAACCAATTGTTACACGCGATACGACGGACAAGGAGACATATATTCGGTCGTATCACGAAGCAATTTCAATGCGTTAAGGTGGTCCGCACGAGAAAAATATAATTATATTATATAACTAATTAACATATATAAATAAGAGATAATTAGAATATTTGAAATGTTTCATCGACGAAGTTTCAGATGTTTTTCTCGTTGAAAGACATTGAAACCGGCGTAATCTGATTTGAAGTGACACATTAAATTTCGAACCCAACGAGTTCTAAACAAACTTTTAATTATTGTTCGAATTTTTCATATATTTCTCGAGTGCAGTGCTTACGTCTAAGTTATCCATTTTTGTTGCTGCCTTGTCTTTTGTATGTTTATTTTTAAGAATAGCAACAGCATTGAAATAAATCTGTTATTATCAAAGAATCGTCTTAATTGAATTTAATCTAAAATGTTCGCAGGATCAATCTTTCGATGGATTTTTAACGAAAAACATTGAAATATTGAAATAGATGTCTTTCGTGTTTTCCACTGTCCCCTACCGATCGCTCTTTTTCGATATCATTAATCCATCGTAGAGAGGGAAGGGAAGGACACACATGCCATATGGCATACGTTTGTATGATGTGCTAGAAAAAGTGCAGGGTCATTCGCGTGAGCTCTCGGAGCTTTGTCGACAATAATTGACCGAGTAGGGCGAGAACTGCAACGAATGTGCGATTTGAGATGGAGAAAAATATGTAATTGATTGACTTGGTA